ATCCTCATCTGAAGACTGCAAAAAACAAAGCCAAATACTTGGTCAGTTTACGGGCTAAGTGAATGGCTAAGTGACAGTATTTGACTAGTGAATTGACTGGTATCCTTGCCATATTTTGGATAAAGCATTCTTTAGCATAAGACCTTGTTCATGCTTGCCCCTCACCCCCCGCCAGGTATTGAACTTGTTGCTGATTGTATTCTTTAAATCTCTCATTAAGGCTAACATACTGGTTTCCTTTCAAGGTGTGCCACCATCATTTCACTGGGTTTGGGAGAAACAAAAAAATATCAATGTGAAGGAATGCTGGGACGGTATGTGACTATTACCATTCCAGGCGAAGCCAAATATCTCACCCTCTGTGAAGTTCAAGTTTTTGGTCACAGGAGAGCTCCCCCAGGTATGTATAAAAATTTTCCAACAAATACTTGAGTTGGTATTTGTTGGCATAACTACTTTTTGCTGGAGAAACAGTTGTCTGAGCTGGGATTGGGCACTTTCAGGTGTTTGAAATAAGACGTTCTCAGTACTCTAGGCTGGAATATATTATTACGGTTTTGAGGGGTCAGTCTGGTTGATGATTCCCTTCAAAATCTGTGATAGAGATTAGACTCTATACAAGGAAACCAGTCAGTCAAACCAGTTATTTTGTTCAGGTAATGGCATTAGCAGGCCAGGTAAGTCCTGCCATTCATATTAGAAAGACTTATGTCTCACAACAAATGTAACTGATCTGTAGAAAACACAACCTGAAAAAGACACAATGCATGTACTTTTGTAAACTAAGAAAACCTTTAATAAAAATTATTTAAAAAATAAAAGAAAGAGTTTGCCCTGTTGCCCTCCGTCTTGTGCTCAGGTTGTATGTATTTATAAATGAAACTATATATCCTAAAGACATCACAGTCTCCAAAGATCTTCATTCCAAGGAAACTTCATTCCAGCACACCTGGAGTCTCTTGCTGCTTGGAGATTGGGTGCACACAACAATATCCATTAGCCTTGTAAGATTTGTTTATCCATCTATCCACCTCTCTCTCTCTCTTATCTATCTATCATCTATCTATCTATCTATCTATCTATCTATCTATCTATCTATCTAATCTATCTATATCTATCTATCTATCATCTATCTATCTATCTATCTATCTATCATCTATCTATCTATCTATCTATCTATCTATCTATCTATATCTATCTATCTATCATCTATCTATCTATCTATCTATCTATCTATCTATCTATCTATCATCTATCTATCTATCTATATCTATCATCTATCTATCTATCCTATTTATTTCTCCCTAACAGGGACTTAAGGTGGCTAACATGTAAAATAGGAACAGCTAAAAACATTGGGGAAAATATCATTAAAAACAATTAAGCTTTAATATCTCTATCTCTGTCTCATCTACAAACACACACAAATACACTATTAACCAAGAAAAAGGGCCAGTCAGCAAATGACCATACCATGGGCACATCCAGATTGGTGTCTCATGTTGCTATCCAATCATTTGTTTCTCTACTGAGAGCTACAAGTTGAACTGTGTGTGTGTGTGTGTGTGTGTGTGTACACACTCCTTTGATGTATACAATCTGCTATGTTGCATCCACACTAGTGGGTGTGACAAAGCTGAGATAAGGGCACTGCATTGTTCAAGCAATATCTGGAAACCCAGAACTAGTTTTCTTGTTTAGTTGTGTGCGCATTACTTTCCCTTTCCTGCAGTTCCCAATGTGGCCCTCGAAGGTGAGGCATCCCAGTCCAGTACCTACAACCAACTAGGAGTTGCAAAGAATGCCATTGATGGGTCTACCTCCACTAACTATATGCGTAGATCATGCACTCACACGGATATAGAGCTGAATCCATGGTGGGCGGTGGACTTGAAGGGAGAATTTGATGTGTCTAGCATAAGCATCACCAATCGAGAAGACTGTTGTGCAGACCGGCTGGATGGGGCTGAAATCCGCATTGGCAACTCCTTTGAGAATGGCGGTTCTGCAAATCCCAGGTACTTGCTGGTTGAATGTTCTCAAGGGGGTCACAAGGATAAAGCACAGAGAAGACAATACCATGAGAAAGATGAGACAATGCAGAAACCACAGATAAAAAATATATCTGTGAAATGCAGTGATCTTCCATTATTCATCTGTATCTTTTATTCTTTTCAGTGTGTATCAGGTTGACCAGCAGCCATCCAGATGTGGCTGGACTACAACTCCCATCACCCCTGACCTTTGGCCTGGGGCTGATGGGAGTTGGGTTCCTACAACTTCTAGAGGTCCACTGGTTAGCGATTCCTGGCATAAATCATGTTGCAGTTGGTGGTGTCCTTCAGTCACCTAATATTATTAACATGAATGGATTTCTTTTTCAAGGTGTGCCACTATCACCTCACTAGGTGCTGGAGAAACCCGCAGTTACAATTGTGGAGGATTCAAAGGGCAGTATGTAACATTGACCATCCCAGGCATTCAGTATCTCACCCTGTGTGAAGTCCAAGTGTTTGGTGTGAAGGTGGATTCATCTGGTGAGTAAAAAGGTTTCTCGGGTGGATAAGAAATGTGGATAAGCCCTTAGTGGTGCAATTGATGCCTATCCCCATTTGCTGATAACTGAGCACCAGGCTCAGCATTACTGGCATTAGGCATGTAACATGAGTTCAGCACTAAACTGTTCTAAAACAATTGTGCTTCTAGTCAAGACCTCCCCATTTGGAACGCAGAAAGTGTAAAAGTGAACGGGGCATTTTATCCCAACAGCCAGAAAGGAGCCACCCTAAGGAGACAGGTGGAGATTGGGCAGATGGGGACCCTTTCCCCTCATCATCTGAGGAAGCTTGATGTTGTCAGAATTGGACACTTCTTCTTGTTTTGGATGTAAACACATATAATCATCTTCCCATCTTGAATTCCGCAGGACATCCAGACATCCCATCTGAAAAGGAAGAAGCATAATTGAGAGTAAGTTCATTTCTCTTTAAATTCACACATCTAAAAGATCTGCCACCCCCAATATTTGCAGAGGTCTACAAGGACTGGTTCTGAACTCTGCCTTGGACTGAATTTTGGGTGAAGTTTTGGGCTTCCACTCAGACAGATTCCCCAAATTTGGCTGAGAGGCTTGCTTCAAATTGGCACCATTTTTTCACATGCTTCAGAGCTACCAATCTAGAGGAAGTGGAGTTTTAGGCTATGCTGATCTCACTTCAGTCGCATCCTTCCCTATAGGAACAAAGACCTCAAGAGCTGAATCAGAGAACTGCCTCTATTGTCAAATGTTGTGTTTATGGTGATATATACATTTATTTTATGGTGGTATATATCTGTCCATGGTTTTAGTGTGTGACAGCTGTTTCATTCATATGTATCCTTCCATATAGCAAAGATGACATGGTAATGTTCTATTGCTTCAGATAGGCAAAGAAGACAATTTTCCACTCTGCAAGCTTTGCGAAGGATTGCTCCTAACTGAATTTCATATCATTATCTCTCTTGAGTTTATTTTATTAGGCAGAAAACCCTATGTGTTTTTTGTATTCTTTTTGTATTGTGTGCTGTTTGTAGTCCTTGTGTAATGTAGGAAACCTTGGATAATTCATACAGAGGCAGAATATACAGTATATATTATTTAAAAAGAAAATAAATAATTGAGGCTGTGGTCATCCCACATGAATGTGTGAACTAGCCTTAAAAGGCCGTGGAGTGAACAACACTTTTCTAATAAGACAGAAGACAGTTAATATTTTAATTATTAGTTTTAATAACCTATATTGCATGTTTAATATTGTTTTGCAGTATGTTGTCCAAGGAATGTTTGTGGATGGGTAGCTATAAACATGTAATTCATAAAATAAACAACCCTGGCAGGTTGCATCCCAAGGAGAGCACAGATCCTGCTACCCACAAATCACCCTGGTATCTCAGCTGCCTTAATTTTCTTTCCGCATAGATTACATTGCATGGGACAGCAGAAATTGTGAAACCAAGAACCCCTACCTTTGTAGAAAGACACCACAAATTATCGTTAGTAGGGACTAACAAGGAGGAACCCTGGCTGGCTGTCTAGAAGAACCTGCACCCAGAGGGATGTCAACTCCTTCCATGACTGCTAAACTCACCTGCTACTCATCTATAGGCTGAAATCCCAAATAAACAGTAGCACTTGCAACTCTATGTGGCTGGGTGTGTCATCTGTTACAAGATGGGGAAACGTATTCCTTGATTTTTCTTACATACTTTATTTATTTGAATAGTCATAATTCTCACTTTTTCAAAGTGGTGATATACCCAGCAGAAACAATTTAAAAATGGCAGACATATTAGTAAAAGCTGTTGGGAAGCAATCTCAGATTTGAAAGGCCTTTGTGACTGAGTCAGACCAATGGGTCCATTTGGATCAATATATGGTAGATGGTAGATAGATAGTAGATGGTAGATAAATTTATTGTCATTGTCCGTATATACACAGTATACACAACAACGAAAATCAAACACCCACTCGAAGACCGGGTTCACATACACATTTGCACGTATCTCCAACACTCTCATCCTATTCAGATATGAATGTACTGTAACAGAGACGGAACACATGAAACCACAGCATGGCCCATGGGCTTTGTTTCCATGTAGAATATATATGGGAGAAAACCAGCCATGTTATTCTGTTGTGGCAAAAACACATTTGTTATGAACAAAACGGTGATTCTGCCCAACAGGTGAGGCAAGGGTATGGTTGTACCACTGAGCTTGGCTGTGGACCAGACTCTCCTTATTGGGTGTCGTCCAGATGTTGAACTGCAACCCCAGGAGCCCCAGTCAGTTTGGTTGGAGGAGGTTACTGTAGGCAATGGGTTTTTGAGATCACAGATTGTACTCCTTGCTTCCTACTGCCATTCAACTGCCATTCCTCCTCCTTTATGGCCATGTTGCACAAAGCTGCCAACTGATCTGATAAAGGAGACACTCCTCTCTCTCTCTCTCTCTCTCTCTCTCTCTCTCTCTCTCTCTCTCTCTCGTAAGCTGATTGAGTTTGTTCATAACTTGCAAACAGGTCTGTCAGGTTGTTCCCAAGGCTGTCCTATTTTCCAGATTAGATTACATCTTTTGGCATTGAATAAATATTGCTACAGTTGAATAATGTTGATTTTCAGGAACTGAAGCTGCTAGCCTTGAACTCTGTTGCAGAAAAAGTTGAATGGATATTGACAGCCTTCCAAAAACCACCCGGCAGCAGAGTTTCAGCTGTCTTTAGCGAGGCAAGATAAAATAAATATCTTGCATGCCTCCCATCCTACTTTTACTCTTGGGTTGGAAAACAGGGAACATGGTCTTAAAACTGTTTAGGAATGGGTGCATCTGTCAAATTTGGTTTCTCTCAGATTTCCCTTCTGAAGTTCCAGTGATGCCAACACTGGATTTCCCGGGCCAGTTGACTGCATGTTGACTGGGGGCCCGACATCCACCCACTCATTCCATAGGCAAGAACTGATGTTTATGTATATATATAAAATTATCCTAGTCTGTCTCACGGGGCAATTGCAAAGATAAAAAGAGGGGAGAACAAGGTACACAGGCTTGAGCTCCTGAGCTGAAAAACAAAATACAAATAAACAACAAGAAGCAGCAAATGTGTGCAGCTTCAGACCTCTCAGCAAAATAAACACATTCAGAAAGAAATTTTGTCAACCTTGTTGATTTTTTAAATAAGAATTTTAACTTTCTCTAACTTTAAGGTGTGCGATGATTTTATGGCTGCATTTGCTGATTCGTTTTATATTTTACATTTTTTGTGGTTACTGCATATGAATCAATGGTAGCCCAGTGATGACAAGGAGACCAGTAGTGGTTGTGTGGCTGCCTTGGAAAATTGCATTTGGGTGGGCTGGACACTGCAATATCACCACTTTTACTAGGTAGCAGAGAAGCCTCATTTATTCATTTACCTGCAAGTAAAAAGAAAGGTAAAGAGACCCCTGACCATTAGGTCCAGTCGTGGCCGACTCTGGGGTTGCGGCGCTCATCTCGCTTTATTGGTCGAGGGAGCCAGCATACAGCTTCCGGGTCATGTGGCCAGCATGACTAAGCCGCTTCTGGCGAACCAGAGCATTGCACAGAAATGCCGTTTACCTTCCTGCCAGAGTGGTACCTATTTATCTACTTGCACTTGGACATGCTTTCGAACTACTAGGTTGGCAGGAGCTGGGACCGAGCAACTGGAGCTCACCCCGTCGTGGGGATTTGAACCGCCGACCTTCTGATCAGCAAGTCCTAGGCTCTGTGGTTTAACCCACAGCGCCACCTGCACCCCTTTATATTATATGATTTTTATATTATATTATATTATTAAATTATATGATTTACCTGCAAGTAAATCATACCAAAAACAGCAAGTTGTGTTTTCCACTGTAAAAGCAGGATACTTGGTGAGTGAATGAAATAATGTGGACATGCAGGGCAGCACTTAAACATGCATACAGCTAATCTCTTCATCCAGTGCCAGACTAGCAGCAATAACAATATATTCCTCTTTTTTTCTGCCACCCTGGGAGGCCTGTCTGGGAGTACCAGGTAGGGACAGTCAGCATTCCTTCCTCTGATTGCTTAACAACAGAGTTTATGTTATTGAGCATTCTTGGCAATAGCAGCTTCTCTGTATCTCCCTAATTGTTGCCTCCACATTTTGCTTTCTAGCTTTTTTTATAGATGTTTGATTGGCTTGCCCTCTTTTTAAAAAGAATGTTAAGAATCCAGGGCCCTTGCTGTATTGGGGGCCTGGTACAAGTGTACCCCCTACATTGCCTGTTGGCAGTCCTGTTAATTTAAGATCTTCACATCACTGTGATAAATTTTTTAAAAAACCCAAGTCCTCAGAAGAATTCATCAATATTATTGCATGAATTTCTCCTAATATGCACATCTTTGTATGTCATTTTGCATAATATACTGTTGCACACCACCCCAATCTATGAGCAGTGCAAGATTCCAGTAGTTCTAGGTACTTATCCAGGATTTGATTTCCCCAGAATGAGGGACAGCAAAGACACTGGTGTCTTTAGGATATATGGTGTGTATACACACACACACACACACACACACACACACACCCTGAGCCTATGATGGAGGGGCTGACAGCATTAACACCCCAGAAAGTCTTGTTTCTCCCATAAATGCAGCCAGGGCATTTTCCAGCCAGAATTCACCAGAACTCAGAACTCTGGTGGCACCGCTCAGGTGGGCACCATTACCATTATAAGAGAACAAGTAAGGCATTCCTGCTGAGTTCCTGCACCTCTTTTTCTAGAAAAATAGTACTGGCTATAGCTTTGGATTCAGGCATGTCTCTCCACTGCCTGCAGGAGTTGCCAGAAGCAGGAATACAAGGTGCCATGCAACCATAATAGAGACTCCACTCCAGATTTGTGTAGGGATCAAACCAAATATTATTGGTCAATCAAATACAGGTTAAAGCCTGAAATCAAAAGTAAACAAACTGGTCACAAAAAAACATTATAGCACATAAGGTTAAATCATTATACACATCACAGGTATAGACAAATGGCCAAAAAAACTCCTCAGGGCACAAGACTGGACTCTTGGGCTTTCCTGAGTTGGGAGCCTTTTATCACTGTGTTAACATAACTGATTTGTTCAAGCTAGACAACAGGTAAGGCTGTGGAGAATTAGCCATGGGGAATCAGGGACAGTTCCATGACAAAAGATCCTGAACAGCTTCCTGTGTGCTGGCATCTTCACACAACAGGGCGAGAAGAGGGAAAGCACTCATTCTCTTTTCTAAGCTCTACACAATTTCACAGTGCATGGAGATTCCTTGCACCAGAGGAGTAGTACTTTCCTGCTTTGAGAGAGTCCTATCAATGGGAGAGAAATATTTTGATAGCTTCCTTTGTTGGTTTGGCTTTGTCTGGCTTGCTTAACTTGTTCCAATCTTTTTCTTTTTGCATTCTTGTAACCACCATATCAGATGGATCTACTTCACTTAATATTTTGAACTGAACTATAGGGCAGATTCTTTTGCCTTTAATTCCTTTAATTCCTTTCAGCAACTCCTGGCCTAGTTGCTAAACTCCAGACAGGACAGGTTTTTCTATTGAGCAAAGCAAATTTGTGCAAGATGTTACAACACTCAGCGGCTTTCTTACTTGAAGGAAATGGTAAATTATAGCAATAATAGGTAGAGAGTGACATGTCACACTACCCAGTCTCTGTACTCCACAAACAAATGCCATTCTTATGGGTTTAAAATTAATTAAAAACAGATCTCCGGGGCAAATGTCCTCTGGTCTCCACTCCATAAAATATTGGTAAGACAAGTTGAAACTACTTAACACAAAGTTAAAACAAAGTTAAAACTAATTTAGAGCCTCGAGAGCTGTGGAGCAATCTGAGCTGTCAGCTTTCTCGCTTTCACTGTCAGTATGTGTACGGTTTGTGCCTTAACCTTTTCTTCTCCTGAATATATTCCACAAGGCAGTGCATGTTTAGGTCCAGAATTTTCCTTTTCTTAGATGGGCTGCCTTCCCAGATTGATGAGCCCCATCTGCCCCTCATTTCCATCTACAGCATGTGCAGAAACCACCTTCTTGTCTGTTGGACCCACTATTAGTCCCACCCGCTCAATCCCCAGGAGCCTGTCTTCACATGCAAGAGAGTCCTTTAATTCACCAATGGTTTGAAACCCATCGGCTGCCCTCACCTGGTTTAGCTGGCCAGCGAAAGCCATTCCCCGGGTGTGGCTGCTGTCGCATGCTGACAGTTTCTAGGAGCCACAGGTGAGAGCTGGGTGCAGGGTGGGGACCAAAGTTGGGCAAAGTACCCCAGGAGGAGTATGACATGTCCCCCACCAGAGGTACCACCCCTCCCCTGATAACATACTACTAAGTAACTGAAGGGGAGAGAATCAGAAATAGCAAAAGATGCAATAATGTAGCACAGCACAAATGCTGAAGAGGTTGAAAAAGCTGAAGAGGTTGAAAAAGTTCTTACAACACTTGGGGAAAACAAAAAGATATCATCACCTGGTGTTGAAAAGACCAAAACAATTGGAGTGCCACTGCCAAAAAGACCCTTAATCTGGTAGACACCCTTTCTTCTTTTGGAATGGACAATGAAGAGTGTCCAAAGAAGATCTATGGGTCCAAGGAGGCATCTTCACCA